AGATATTTATATTATAAAAAAGAAAATTGTAGAAGCATACTAGTTTTCTGGCACAAATTATTTATATTGTTTAAACTTGGTCTTTATTCTTAAATAACTTCATAAGAATTTATATTATTACAGTGTTACGAAGCAAATCTTTGGCAAACTATATCTATCTTCTAGAATCAAGGATTCATCTCTTATTTTTATTTATTAAATTAAATTTCATGATTTTATATGATTATAATTCAACAAAAAAATAAAGATTTCATTCTAAGACAATTAATTGCAAAATCTATGTGTTGAAAGTGAATTATCAAAATTGTGTGTAAATAGTTGAAATAATTATTTCATCTATAGGTAAACCAAACTAAGAAAAGACAAATGGTAATTTAACCCATTGATAAAAAGATAATTAATCTTAGAACCAAATCAAAGAAGTGAGACCAATATTTATATTAAGATACCGATTTTTTAACTTTTAACTTCCAATTATATTAAATTTGTAATTAAGTGTGCCTTTTTGAAATCAGTGCCAAATTTTTTTAATCTCTGGTCCCATCGTAAAATGGGCTAAAACTTCAATTTAATATCTTCTCTTATTTTTCTTATTGTTAATTCAACAATGATTTTTAAATTCAAATTAGACATATATTTACAATAACAAAATTAAAAAATTTTATGCAAAGTAACATGTGAACTACTCGAAAAAGATTTTTTATATTTATTATATATTATTGTAAATAAAATGCTTTATTTAGAATAAAAATTAATTATACTAAATAACTAATTTCGTCAACTGGGCTAAATAATGCTAATGATATATGATGATATACATTTCTCTTGCAAACTAAATTAAAAAAAATATTAGTAGGTAAAATTTCTTATGGAGTTTTTTTTTGATTAATAACTAGTCGAGATATTTTAATGAATTTTAAAATGCTTGATACTTCCTATTTCCAATTTTAAATAGATGATTTTTTTTAAACCTCTTACTTCATTCAATTTAGAATGATTAATAAACTCAGAAGATGTGTATTTAAGTGCTTCTATGGCATTTTACTCTTTTATCATTAATTATTTAATATTTGATAATTTGACTATTCTCTTAATATTTAAATATTTTAATTCATGAACTTTTCAAGTGAATGTAATATAATATAAAAATGAATTAAAAGTGGCGTTCAATTAAATTCGGAAGCAAGTAAAATCTAAATTTAATTTGTCACTAGAAAGAAATGGATAGGTTTCATAAAAGAATATCTTAATATCAAAAATTAAATGCCATTATTAATGCGCTAAAGTTTTGGCCCAGAATTTAATCAGCGTTTTTGTTTATTTCCAAAAATTGGATGCAGACCAACTTGTGAGATTCTTTACCAATTCTACTTTAACAACTAATGTCATTATTATTAAGTATATTTAAATTTTGTTAAAAAGATTGATAGTACTTGCTGCTGATTATGTTTATATCTCAAAAGATCTAATGTATGTTCTTTAAGACATCAAAAATACTGATCAACAACCTATTTATTAATTATGGGAAAAAAAGGATATGCTATGAATTTTTAAATTTAATTAAGGAATAGAAAGATTGATAA